GATCCGGGGTTGCTCTCGGAGCCGGGCTCGGGTCACTGCAGCGCTTCCCGCCCCGCAGCCGAGGATGAGCCCTCGCCCGCACCCCGCGCTGCCCGGCCGCGGGGGTCTTGGCCGCGGCAGCATGGGGCGGGCTGGACCGGGCCACCCACACAGTCCCTCCGGCACTGCCAGATCGCTCTGCCCCGGCTGCCGATTTGCTTCGCAGGGAAGCAGCCCGGGAGCGCGGCGGGGAAGCCGGCGGAACCGGGGAAAGGGCTTCGTCCTGCCAGGGGGCCGGGGACCCCTCGCCTCGCCTCGCCCCGGCCGCGCGGCCACCCCGCTCCTGGAGCTGACCCGCCTGGGGTCCCCCCCTCCCCCGCACTTCTCCCGCTCAAACCCGCAGCCCCGGCGCGTCCCAGCCGGGCTCCCGCCCGCAGGTGAGCGCCAAGTTCCCGCCACGGGCTGCGGGGCGCACTTACTGGTGGAGAAGCGGGGGTCCGGGTTGGTGCCGTACCATCCCGTGGCCGAAGCGCTGTTCCGCATGGTCTCCTGGTAGGGTGGCAGCTCGCTCATGTTGCCTAGGTTGCCGTTGCAGTAGCCCCCCATCGTGGTGTGGGAGAGCTGGGGGACCCCCGCCGCTGTCATATGGTAGGCAGCAGTCACTGCCCCGTTGTGGCCCATGGGGTGCTGCTGCATGGCCGGCTGAGAAACCTGAGACTGCCTGTAGGCTGCCAAGGGAGCTCCCAAGTTACTCCCCTCCATGCCCACTTTCTTGTAGCTTTCCTCCAAGGGACTCAAGATGTCAGACACTGAGAAAGGAGTCGTATGCTTTGGGCTCATCGACATGATTCGGCGGCTGGGAGAGAAAAAAAAAAAAAAGGAAGGGGAGGCAAATCTTTTTTTGCCAAATATTCTGGTGTTGCCTTAACGCCGATCTTGTTGGATGTACACGTAACCGAGTGGACGAAGTCCGCCTTAATTGGATTGAGTGGAGGCTCAGGGCTGCCTTTCGTTTGTTTTAGCCAGACGCCAGGTTTTAGGCTGCCACCAGAGGCGGGGCATAGGCACTAAAGCAACAAGACAATAGAAGCCTACATCTTGCCCAAGATAATTAGCTTACATGCTGATGACAAGGTAAACACCTTTAAGTTTTACTTGTCAGGATTTTTTAGGTCTTAAAAAAAAAGGAAGAAGAAGACCCCGTGAGCACAAGTCATTTTATTCTTCTGGGGGTGGCAATATTCTGGGTGGGGAATTGAAGGTAATTTCAAAAGCGAAATTTGCTGAGTTCAAGTGAAATGATTTCAAATCGCATCCCCAGCCCCTGACATTATCGCCTCAGCCCCTGGGAGAGATGCGGAGCTGGGCTTTAATCCCAGGGAACCAATGGATCCCACCGGGCTTGATTTTAAGGAAACACTGAGAAGTGAGGGAGAAAAAAATCTGTCAGGAGGGCATCGGATTTATATTTGGCCACCGATTTCCACACTGCATTACCCACTTGAGAGGGATCCTAAGCCTGTCAGGTAGAAATGCTGGCTAATGCTCACCAGCACCGGATTTTAAGAGTGCTGCAAGGGAGGCTTCTCTGTTAGTCTCTAAATGCAACACCCAAATCCATGCATCGCTGTGTACAGGCAGCCACAGGAAGATTTTACCCAGATTTTTGTCTCGGAGAGAGACGGGCAGTGTAAATTTGAAAATATGTAAAGTAATAGCGTAGGGGGTGAGAAAAGAGGTTAAAGCAAAGAGTCAGTTGTTGTTTTAAAATAGAAGGAATGTTAGGGGCTCCTGAGGGCCCTTCTGTATCCAAAGCTGCTTTCTAAGGTTATTTATATATCAAGGAAGTTGGGAGGATGAAGACCTATCAGGTCATCTGGTCCATCGCCTTTGCCAATGAAGACTCGTCCCTTGCATTTTCTAATTTTTTTGCCCTATCTAGCTTGGAATGCATATAAAACACGTTCATCTCTGTGCATACCTGTGTCTCGAACAGTTAATGTGATTCAAATTATTATTTGTATCGAGCCTTGGAAGGATTTTCAACTTTTACTGTAATTGCAAAAAATAAATAAATAAAAAAATAAAAATCAATGAAGGCAAAAAAAAAAAAAAAAAAAAA